AAGAGCTCAAAAGCATAGAAGAACTAACTCTTTCAGTTTGGAGAACTCAAAATAACATATAAATTATATTTTTGATTTCGAAGAGTTTTCCCATTTTTAACTAGCCAATTATAAAATTGAAAATTTTCCAAAGTAGGGAAGTTATTAATTTCGGTCTGATCTTCGAAAGTCGAGTTATTATCTGATAAAAAATTCAAAAAAAATTGAATTTTTGTTTTTTAAAAATAACTTTCAAGTGCACAACGAAATCATAATGAAATCATGTATACATTTTTTGTGCTTAAAAAACTGCGTCGAATGCTTCTAAACTTAGATTTTGACCATAATTTGGATGGATTCGACCCAGTAGATTTTGAGAAATCTCAAAAAAACTTCAAATAAAAATTTTTTCAAATGTGGTTTTTTTGGAATAACTTTTAAACGGCTTGACCGATCAATTTCAAAAACTAATCAGCTCTTAACATCAAATAAACACGTCAATTGCCGTCAGCCCGGTCGAAATCGGTTAATTCGTTCGTGAGTTATCGTTAACGAGAAAAATCGAAAAAATCGTTTTTTGGGAATTACTTTGAAATTCCTTGCTCGATCAATTTAAAATTAAAAGTTCTCTATGAGGCTTTGAAAACTGCGTTCAATGCCACCAACCACATAAAAATCGGTTCATTCATTCAAAAGTTATTGTGGTTTAAAAATTCGAAAAATAGTGTTTTATTCAACTTCTTGCAGTTTTTTGAGCTCGGAGAGCTCAAAAAGACACAAAAATTATGTTTTTGAGCTCGAAGAGCTCAAAAATGTAATAAATGTGGGTTTGTGCGGTTAAGTATGAAATGAGCGGGAAGTTGCAGGGATGGCCTTCAGGGTCAACCGTTTTCCTAATTTTTTTTATTGATTCTCACTATTCATAATTACCTTATAAATTTTTTCAAAAATTCGATTTTTTGATTTATAAACTTTTTATCTAATCGAAGAGTTTTAATATTTCTAAAACAGTTATGATAGTAACTTATTCAAATTTGAAGAATTGAGTCTTTCTAAAAATGTATCGTACGTAGACTCTGTAACCTACAACCGTTGTTGACTGAGAAAAATGACAGTATAAATATGCGATTTTCTAAAAACACCATTAGGTTATACTGCGTAACATGAAAACTAGAAAAGATTTGCGCCTGAATTGTAGAGTTGAAGACACGAGTGATCACCCACACGACTTTCCACATGACACAAAACAAATAACTGAGAGGCAAATTCTGTAAATATCCTATTCCGGATTGGTGACTCTTTCGACTTGTCGACTATAATATTTTATGCAACACAGGACTTGAAATTTCATTTTTTGGAGGAATGCACAACTTCAAATCACTCTCATGTTTATTTTATTCTTTTACGTCATCTACCGTGAATAATTTTTAAGAGTTCAGAATTTTTATTGAAAAATAATTACCCATCACCAAGAAATTTCCCTTTCTGTTTTACTGAATTCCCTTTCTTTTTATGTATGTATATGTGTACTATGTAAACCTCTCATAATTTTTGAACGACTTGACCGATTTAAATGAACTTGTGGGTGTTTGAAAGGGTTTCCACTTACTTAAATTTTCAATACCATACGAATCAATTCGGGCTGGAAGATTTTGAGAAAGCTCAAAAATGAAATAGAAAAAAAAATTGTTTTTTTTTTCCACATAACTTTTGAATTTATTGTTTCACATTCAATTATTTTAATATTATTTAATTACCCGAGATCGAAAAAATAAACTTAGACGATCTTAAATCATTGGTTTTTTTTATAGCAGTTAAGTTCATTTAAGTTAATTCTATCACAAGGGTACTCCGTCGATTGCTGTAAATTAGGTCAAAATCGATCAATTCGTTCGAAACTTTTCATCAAAAAATTTGAAAAAAGTTTTTTTTCTAAAAAAACTTACAAATTTTTTATTGTAAAACAATAAAATATTTTTTATTGCGGTTTTTAAAAATAATTTTCCATTTCTACATTAGATCGGACTCATTTCTAAGAATTTTAGTAGAGCTCGTTTAACCGCGCTAAATGCCACTAAATATTGTAAAATTGGTTGATTCGTTCGAAAGTTGTAGCAGTTCATATAAAAGTGCTATTCAGCAGCCAAAATGGAAGTAGATTTCTTTCTTAAATAAAACTGCAACACTGATAATACAAATACTTCAATTACATTGATAGAATCCTTTAACTCTAAGTTACGAAAAACTTGTATTGTCGTTAAAACGAATGCAACAGTAAAATTTCATTAAATACCTACAGATGAATGGGTTACTTCCAAGTTTAGAAGAATAAAATAACATGTAAATTAAAACTTATTTAATGAGCTTTAGAATGTAATTTACAAAAATTCAATAAGTTATTTCATTTAAAAGTTATCCGCGAAAGAAATTGCCAAAATATGAATTTTTACGTTTTTAAAAATTTTGAACTACTATCATTTCTGAACTATAGTCAAGTATATATACTTGACAGATTCAGCTCATCTTCGAACTTGACCATGGAATTCGTCTACAAATTAAGTATATTGTGTTTGGAAAATATCCATTATGAATTAGAGACGCTATCATCGTGACAAGTCGCGTTATATTGTATAAATATTTAAATATATATGAAACAATGCAAATTGTCCCGCGCTTTACAGCCTAAAACTATAATGTCGGCACTTGTGATTTCTATCGGTTCCATCGTATACCTATCCTAGTTATAATAGTTATTTATGTTCTCTAGGTATGGAATTATTTTTCTACAATAAAAATTATTAAGAGATTACATCAGTATCATTGGTAGGTTTTTCGGGAATTAATGTTTTTTTTTTCCACCCGTAATTGTTGTTCCACAAATAACAAGATATTGGCTACCCTCCACGGAATTGCTTATAACAATTGAATAGTTATTGATTAATTATGTTATTCTAACATGTAAATCGTGGGTGAAAATACAAATCAATTCATACGACTACTGAAATCAACTGTCATTAGGGAATGGGACAAAGGAGAAAGTCCATGTAGAAATGTCAAAAAATCGATTTTTTCATCAAAAATTGAAAATATGATGTCTTAAGAGTATACTGATGAGTGGAAAAAACAAAATATTAAATATTTATGAAGTTATATAATATGCATATTTAGTAAGTCAATTCAACTGATCGTTATACGTTTTTTAAATTTTAAACGCGATTTTCACGAAACTGTATTTTTAAAAACTGTTCATGCTGTAATTTAAAAAGTTATTGACCGATTTGTCTAGAATTTTTAGAGGTTTTTCTCTACATTATCATCGAAAGGATTTACCTAAAATTTTAGACATTTTGCGCCAATAAACTACATTTTGCGGGCCATAAATGTCAAAGAAATAGTCTAAAATTTAAACTTTTTTTTCTAAGGCTTATTTCCTTTTAGTTTTATACTTATTTTTAATTTTATAGGTTCATTCTTCTCGTAAATATATCATAAAAAGAAAGAAACTTTATTTTTCAATTTCATATTAATGGTAATCGTTAAGAAGTGGAGCAGTTTTGGACCTCTCGCCAGAAGCGCTCGACCAAAAATCCTCCTGAGTCACAATTTATAAAAAAAAATTAGGAAAACGGTTGACCCTAAAGGCCATCCCTGCAACTTCCCGCTAATTCCATACTTGAGCGCTCAAAATTGCACTTATTACGTTTTTGAGCTCTTCGAGCTTAAAAATATCATTTTCGTATCATTTTGAGCTCTCCGAGCTCAAAAGTCTTATCAAAGTTCGATGAAACACAATTTTAAAAATTTTCAAACTGCTATAACTTTTTAATGAATTAACCGATTTTCACGAGGCAGCGATCGACCTAGTTTTTTGGGCTCTATGGAAAATTTGGAACAAAAAAATTTATCTGATTAAACATTTCGTAGTTATTACAAAAAAACACTTTTTTCGATTTTTTTTGACAACGATATCTCACGAACGCATCAATCGATTCTGACGCACTTGGTGGCGATCGATACGGGTTTTTAAGATTAAGAGCTGATTAGTTTTTGAGGTCGATCGGTTCAGCCAATTCGGAGATATTTTGAAAAAATGGAAAAAAAGCAACTTTTTTTTTCACTATTTTTGCAATTTCTCGAAATCTACTGGTCCGAATTAGTTCCAATTCACAGGAAATCTAAATTTGGCAAAGCCCTTTCGAATGGGACCAACCGCGATGAAATCGGTCAAGCCGTTCAAAAGTTACGAGAGGTTTACATATCCACACACATACATACAGACGTACGGACATCATCGTAAAAATAGTCAGGAAAGCTTCCTAGGGTTTCAAAACGTCGAGATCTGATGAATATTAATTTAGCAGATATTTTATAATTTTAAGATTTTATTTTTTTAACAAATAAATTATGTTACAGAAAATGAGAAAAAAAAAAATTGACATTTAGATAATTAAAAAAATAAAAAATCCAATTTTTTAGAAATAATTTTTCGGAGCAAATTTATTTATTAAAAAAAATTAAAAAATTGTTAAGCGACTGCTAACTTTAATGTCATCGAGATCTGTTGAAACCTTGATTTTTGCAAAACGGGGTAAAACCAATAATTTTCCGATTTTTCGAAAATCTTCGATTTTCTTAGCGGGAAATTCAAAATATACATGTAAATTGTAATATTGTAATTTTATATCTATAGTACATACATAGTTATCAGTTATCATAATTTAAATAGATACACGATGTAGTGCCCATTGAATTCATAAATTAATTTTGATTCCTTTAAATTCCTGCCACATTTCCGCAATTTTCTTTTATTGTACTTACAGTGCCATCTATACTAATTTATATTGAATCTGAATTACCATTACCCTCTGATGATAAGTTATATTTGCTTTTATGTTTATGTCAATTCTTTTAGTGCCCTCAAATAAAGTAACCTAAAATCAGTTGCAAACCTCAACACAGTCGTACGTAAATATAAGAATTGAAGTTGATATTGTTTATAATTAATTATTATAAAAATAAAAATGTTTATCCAATTTGAGAGCTCGCGAGTCAAAGAAGCTGAGCGTGAAGCGATAAAAAAAACAAGAGAACGAATTTTACTTGAGGTAATGAAAATTAAATAATAAACTTAAAAATTTTTTATAATTATTAATTATAAAATTGCATGTTGAAATTTTATAAAATCATAATCAATCAGCCTATTTTATTGTTTAATAATTAATTATTGAATTTAAATTTCATGTATTTATTTCTAACGTTGTTTTTTCACTTACTTACTGATATAAATGATTACAGGCTGAAGACAGATTCAAAACGAAAGAGGCACAAGCTGAAAGAGCTAGACAACGTGGTGATGATAAATGGATGCTTCCTGAATTAGATGCTAAGCTATCATCTGAAAAATCTAAGAAGAAAAAGAAAAAAGAAAAGAAAGAAAAAAAGTCTAAGAAGTCCAAAAAGAAGAAGCGAAGACGCAGTAATTCCAGTTCTAGTAACGTAAGTCTATATGTTTGTTATTTTTATTATTTTGTATTTATATACTTAAATTATTATAATTTGCAATTAATTATAGAGTACAAGTGAAGAAGAAGAAGAAGAAGGTGACCAGTGGGTCGAAAAAGATGACTCGAAAAAGTCAAACTCTGTATCAAGCGTCGCAGATACAAAAAAACTGGAGCGTGATGAATGGATGAATCTTTCGGGATCATTTTTGTGCTCTGCTAGGGAGAAAAAACCCAAGGAAGATAAAAAAGAGACTAGTATGATAGCAGAACCCGGACAGAGTTCTCAAGAATTAAATCCGTATTGGAAAAATGGCGGCACTGGAGTACCTGAGGAGCAGAAAAAAAGTAAAGCATTGGGCATGGATCCACAATGGCTAAAAAAGAGCCTACATAGAGCCCAGGAACAGGCTCGAGAAGAAGGAAAGAGCTTGGAAGATATTGCTGCAGAAAGGTGGGGTTCTTTGAACGAAATTAAGCAGATGATCGAGGAAGCTGAGAGAAATTCTAGACACTCCAACAAATCGAGGTATGAGAGTGACAGACAGAGGAAAATAGAGTGCAAAAGGTCTCATAGAGATCGCAGTCGGTCTCGATCAAGAAGTCGTGAGCGATATCGTCGGAGTTATGATGATAAGTACGACAGGGGTCAGAAGAAACTTGCCTTCAAAAAGCCGGATGACAGTGATGATAGGCAAGGTTCTTATTCGAGTTCCAGACAGTCGGGTTCGTCTAAGAATTGGCGGAAGCCTGAAGCTAACGAACCTGCAACACAAGAAACTAACTCTAAGGCTCTTAGTTCAGCTGACAGAAAACCTAGTCCTGTTAATAATACAAAGTTAAATTTAATAGCTTCAAATGATTATCATATGACGTTACAATCATCATCGAGTGATAGTGAAGTTGAAGATGAAGAAAAATCCCCGGAGATTCCAGTGAAAATTTTAACTGACGACGAGATGAATCAACTAGGAGCTAAATGTATCAAAGCAGAAATAATGGGAGACGTAGAATTGGCTGCAAAGCTGAAAAAAGAACTGGAACAGGCGCGAGAAGCTCGTAATAACAAACCCAAGCCTCCTCGTGAAGACTCGAGAAGAGAAGAAAATGTTATCCTTACAACTACCAACTCCAGAGGCATGGCGAGACCGTTGGAGCCTAGGAGCAAGTACCAAGAGCCCCAAGGCGGTAGACGTAAGAACAAAAAAGTAGACTCTCATGAAGGAGGACAAAGAGTTCGATACTTTGCCGATGACGACAAATACTCGCTTCAAGATATGTTTCAACGAGAGAAAGGACTTTCAGCAAACGATGACGACGCGGCGTTTGTCAAAATGGCTTCTAAGAGCATGGACATGGACGAGCTGTTTGAGGAACGAATTACTCGTGGTGAAAGCGATGCGAAGCAGGATCACCGTGACAAGATGCGTGCAATTAAGGAACATCAGCGAAGGGAGAAGAGTCTGGACAATTGTCGTCTGTGTGTTGATTCCAAGGAGATGCAGAAGCACTTGATAGTTGCCTTGGGCTCCAAAGTTTATCTCAGTCTTCCTTGGCATGTTTCTCTCACTCCAGGGCACTGTGTTATTGCACCAATTTACCATGTTTCAGCACAAACGCTCTTGGACGAGGATGTCTGGGAAGAGCTGGAAGAAATTAAAAAGGCTCTTACTAAAATGTTTACAGATAACAATCAATGCGCTGTATTTTTTCAAGTATATGTTGGACGACATCGTTATCCTCATATGTATGTAGAGTGTGTACCTTTGCCGGAAGAAGTTGGTAGCATGGCGCCGATGTACTTCAAGAAGGCGTTGCTTGAGTGCGAAATGGAGTGGTCGACGAACAAAAAAGTCGTTGATCTCGATAGAAAAAATGTTCGACAAGCTATTCCAAAAGGCTTGCCGTACTTTGCTGTCAACTTTGGCACCCAAGGAGGTTTCGCTCATGTTATAGAAGATGAAAAATTATTTCCCAGGAATTTCGCTCAAGAGATTATTGGAGGAATGCTTGACTTGGACTCTCACTTGTGGAGGAAACCTCGAAAAGAAAAGTTTGACGAGCAAAAGAAAAAAGTCATGAAATTCGCTGACCAGTGGAGAAAATATGATTGCACTGGTAAATCTAAATAACTTTGTGTACAGAATAAATAATAAATTTTGTAATCATAAAAATTGTATATAATAAAAATAATCATTTATTTATCTTTATCTCCGCTAAGTTTTTCATTAGTTTTGCTGTCAATAAATCCTATGACTGGCCACGTCATCAAGTGGTCTTTTAAAATCGATGGAAATAGCGACATAATTTTAAAACATTTCCCCATTTTGTCTTCATCAACTAGCATTTTGTATCCGGATATTAAATCTTTCCTGTCAGCGTCTGTTGTTTTGTGTAACAGCATGTTTAACCTGACATCAATGCCTAGATCTAGTAAAAATTTTTTTTGACTAACCGGGCCAAACGCTATCATTCTGTCATCTTTAGTAGCTATTTTTTTAATCATTGCAAAGTCGACGTCTGCTGTAAGGTCCGCAGTTCCTGGGTCAACCAGCGGGTCTTGCTGCTGGTGTTTCTTAAACGCGCGAAAAGTATCAGTCTTATCCCCCGTATGGCCGTAGTCAGCGATAAACGCAAACCCTCCACACTCTTTTAAAAACGTTGCCATGTAATCAATTATCACCATCATTTGCGGGCTTGCTTCTACGTGATCTCTTTTTTCGTCTTCCTATTAATTATCAACTTAATTAATTAATTATTTTAGTTTTAATTTAAAGTAATTAAATCAACTCTTACCGATATAAATAGTTTGCTTGACAAAGTAGGAAACTTAGACATTACGTATCGAAATTTTTCTTCATTTTCCGGATCAATATCTACAAAAACTTCATGCCATGCTCCATTATTTTTCTGTGAAATAAAATTAATTTAATAAGTACTTTAAAGAGGAACACCACTGTGACGGTCGAAAAAAAAGGTGATTTTTGGGATTTTTTTTTAACAGGGAAAATAAAGGAATTTGGGGATCGGATTTTTTTTTTTATTTTACTAAGGGTACATTAAAGATTATTACCCTAAATGTTTATTAAAAAATATTTAATTATTACAAAGTTATTAACAATCTCGTCGAGCACTGGAGAAAATTTCCTCCCTCCATGGTCGGAACGATAACTCAAAAACGGATCGTCTGAAAATAAAAACCCAAATTTCTTTTTAATCAGTAAGGATGTAGTTATCGTTGCACGGACGGAATTTTGAAAGTTTTGACTTTAAAGATTTTTTTAGCCGGGTTAAAACAAAAAAAAAAAATAAAAACAGTAAAAATAATGAGAAAATTTTCAGTCGGCATTTTTTTGAAAATTAAAATTTTCAAAATTCCGTACGTGCGGCGATAACTACATCTTTGCTAATTAGTAATTAAAAAGCAATTTGGGTTTTTATTTTCAGATGATCCGTTTTTGAGGTATCGATCCGACCATGGAGGGGGAAATTTCCTATATATAGTGCTCAACGAGATTGTTAATAACTTTGTAATAATTAAATATTTTTTAATAAAAATGTAGAGTAATAATGTTTAATATACCCTTAATAAAATAAAGAAAAACCTGATCCTCAAATTCATTTATTTTCCCTGTCAAAAAAATTCCCAAAAATCACCTTTTTTTTCGACCATCACAGTGGTGTTCCCCCTTAAACTGTTACTAAGCTAAAAGACCGCATTAGTGGCACCTTTAACCCCGATTAGTGGGAATTTTTCTTCCAATGAAAAAATATTCTATTTAAAATAAAAATTAAAAATTTATTTGATCTAAATGTCCTAAAGATTAGAAATAATATATTCATAATTGAAATTAATAATTTTATTATTTTAATAAATACCAAAATCAAAGAAAGTGTCAGTAATGGGGTCTTTTACCCTAGTAGTTAATTTTTACTGCAAATAAAATTACCTGGAATTTGTGAATAGGTAAAGCATCAAAAAATTCATGAGCGATAAAAACGCTAAATTTTTTTGGTACATGTTCTATAGACCGATACCAAAATACATGAGTACCATCATCCGTAACTCCTTCACGATAGTGCTTTTCATTTCTATCATCACTATTACTAATTAAAATTGGGGTAACTTCCTTAGAAGATGTACACAATTTCGTAGCCTGAATCTCTGACAAAGCAGGACTGACTTCAACTAAATGCAGAGACAATTTATTCAGCGCTTTAAGTTGCTTGAATACTTTTAAAATATCTTTACTCAACGTCCCTCTCCCAGGTCCCAGCTCGACTAATTGAAAATTTTCTTTGCTAATTTTTCTCCACTCGTTCAACACCCATATCCCTAACATCTGAAAATAGAAATCATCTTTTAAATATTCATTTTGATAGAGAATAAAAAAATTAAACAAACGTACCTCGCCAAAGAGCTGACTAATTTCTGGAGACGTTATAAAATCCCCTTCGGCACCAAACACGTCTCTTAGCATGTAATATCCTGCTGTAGGGTTTGTGAGTGCTTCTTTCATGTACTCAGCCACAGGAATAGGCCCACATGATTTTATTTTAGCATGCAGGTGTTTGTGTAGTGAAGGTTTCTTGTCTCTACTTGATTCTTTAGATGCATTTGATGAGTACCTTCTCATCAATGTTGCTGATGATCGATTAACTAATTTTTCGTAGGTACTTAAAAATAATTTTGCTCTTCGGATATTTACCAAGTGTCTCATGTTAATTCAGGAGTATTTATCTACTTTATATTTATAAATTTAGAAAATAAATACAGACATGTAATTTTTTTAGTGAATTGTTGGTATTTTGTTTTGGCTAAGTTCAATAATTCTGCCAAGTATCGAACGTAGTTGGAAAGCTTCAGCTGATCTCCTCTCTCTCACATTTTAATTACACATCACTTTTTTTTTTATTTATTAGCGCGCTAACAATTTTAAAATAAAATACACATAAGTGTATATAATTATGTAATGTAATTGTCATAACCTAATATATGTTTAAAAAATAAAAACATTTATGATAAAGTAGGTTTCACTAATTTTGTCAACGGAAATTTTTTATGATACTAATAAATTATGACATTAAATTTAGCTGTCACTTGACATTTTTTAAAATTTTCTTTGATAAATAAATTATGGCAAAAAAAATTATTAAAAAAATGGACTTGTAGAATTTTAATAAAATTAAAAATGCAATTTTTTAAAAATAATTTTTTGGAATAAATTTTTTTGTTAAAAAAAAATTAAAAAATTGTCAAGTGACAGCTAAATTTAATGTCATCAATCGATTACAATGGAACTTCTTTATATCGTAAAACAATTCTTTTTTTTTACTAAAATAATCAAAAATATAAAGTTGTAATTATTAATAATTATAACATCTATAAAATATTTTTTAAAATCTAGTTTTCATCGGACGATCACATTTTGAGATCCCAGAAAACTTTATATTTTTGATTATTTTTAATAAAAAAGAATATACATGAATTTTTAACAAAATATCGAGCTAAATATGAAAGTTTTACGATATAAAGAAGTTCCATTGTAATCGATTGTTTCCTGAGAGATTTTCGAAAGAAGGATTTTTTTAATTGATTTGTTTTCATTACAGAGTTTTATACTGAGAGTTTTTTAAAATAAAGATTTCTCCTGAGGGATTATAAAATGTAGAGAAAATTCTCTGTAGAGATGCTCCCCACCAGATTTAGCAGACATCTAACAATTTTTTTAGATTTTTATAACAATTTAATTATGATGAAAAAAATTTAGCAAAAAAATTCCACATGAAGAAATTTCAAAAAGTTTTAAGTGCAAATGAAAAAAAAAAATTGTTTTTATAACAACTGATATGTTTTAAAAATTTTAACAATTATCAGACGTCTGTTAATTTCAGTATCATAATTTTTGTAGTGTTTATGATTGACAAAATTTTAGAAATTACATGACTGAAAGTGACAAATCTGATTTTCTATTTATAAACAATTTAGATATTACAAAAATAATTTTATGAAATAATATATGTTAAAGTTTATAAAAATTATTTCTCAGTAATTTTTCAATGAATATTAAAAAATGTTTTATAAATAAAAAATATTGACAAGGAAATTAACTGGTTTCTTTTTTTAATAATAAATCGATGTAAGCTTCAGAAATTAAATCATCTTGTGCTATTCCCAATTCTTTCATCAAATTAATGCTGATTTTTTCTCCGTCATCTACATCTTGTTTGTCTTGTAAAACAACCTAAACAGTTTAAAAAACATAATTAATTAATGCGTCTTGTGTGAAGAAATGAATTTATAAATCAAATAACAAAAATATTTACCTCAATCTCCATAAAGTCTCCCAGTTGATCGACTTGATCAATGTGAATGCGTGACTGTCCAACAATGTACAATAATCGCGTTTTCTTAACCATACCTAATTTACCATTTGTTTTAGATAAAATATCATTTATCCCATCGCATCCTGATTTGTCACTGAATGATACTTTTGTATAACTACTCAGTTTAGGTCCTTTAGTATCTGAACGTTCATAAAAAATTAATTCTCCTGAATTATCCTGTGAAGAATTCAATTATAAATTATTAATATTTAAATCATTTATAAGCATAATCAATTTGTGACAGATGAAATATTTAAATACTTACATCAAATACTCGCAATTTGAGTCGCCCATGTGGTACAATATAAAAAGTATCCGTTTGTTTTATTACTTCAGGTTCTGAGCTTGACAATTCTTCAGCCTTAGCTTTAACAGAATCTGGATTTCGTAAAAATGCTTTAATTTCGACGTTACGCATTTTATCAAAATATTATAAACTCTAAAAACTACCATGTAATATTATTATGTTCAAAGCTTGTATTTTTTCGGGGTCATCTGAGTGATCCGAACGGAAATGTAGCCAATGTAATAATTGTAAAGGAATTCAAAAAGTAACTTGCTCTCTAACAAGTTATATACATTTAATACTTCATACATAACACTTAATATATGTCAAATAATAGTAAATTCTATATAATAAAATACACACATTAAAACATTTAAATATCATATTTATGAAAAAAATTAAACTGTAACCCATGAAACATTACAAAAGAACGACAATTGATCTGTCTTCTAAGTCTTCTAAGTCATAAGTAAGAAATTAGTTGTCAGTAAGGTAAATTTTTTTAGGTAACTGGCGGTGAAGGAAATTTAAATTATATAATCTAAATTCAAACAACCTTTTTATTCTAAATAAGAATAATTATTCTTGAAAATATTTATTGTTTTTATTTATTAAAATATACAAATATTGATTACTAAAATAAAACAAAAAATCGCTTAGCTTATTTAATGGGAAATTATTTATTATTCTTTATAAAGTAATTTTTTGTTAATTATATAAAATATTAAAATCAAACTATTTTTTATTTGTTTCAACTTAAACTATTATTCATCTATACACTTTCTCAAAATTTATCAATATTAAAGGAACAAAAAAATCTTTTTTTTTTTTAATTTTTTAATATTTTTGAACTTACTAATTATATATGATATTCCTATATTTTTTTAACTTTAATCTAAATTTAAACGAATTATATTTAAATGAATAATTTTTTCTTCTTATGTTATTCTAATTACATAGATATAAAAAATAATTGTTTGTTTTATAATATTCATATGACAAGAACGTAATTATTGATAAATGTTAAGAAGGTGTATAAATAAATAATAGTTTAAGCTGAAACAAGTTAAAGAACAATTTGTTTTTAATATTTTATAGAATTAAAAAAAAAAAAAAAAAAAAAAATTAAATAAATAAAAACAATAAATATTTTCAAGAATAATTATTCTTATTTAGAATAAAAAGGTTGTGTTTGAATTTAGATTATATAATTTAAATTTCCTCCACCGCCAGTTACCTAAAAAAATTTACCTTACCGACAACTAATTTTTTACTTATGACTTAGAAAACTTAAAAGACAGATCAATTGTCGTTCTTTTGTAATGTTTCATGGGTTACAGTTTAATTTTTTTCATAAATATGATATCTAAATGTTTTAATGTGTGTATTTTATTATATAGAATTTACTATTATTTGACATACATTAAGTGTTATGTATGAAGTATTAAATGTATAAAACTTGTTAGAGAGCAAGTTACTTTTTGAATTTCTTTACAATTATTACATTGGCTACATTTCCGTCATTTCCGTTCGGATCACTCAGATGACCCCATTTTTTCGAGTAAACAATAATAACTTAGGGGGCGCTAGTCTGTAATTTCCCCATATGATTTCAAATTTTAAATGATACTGCGAAGTACTGAAGTTAGCTGACAGCTGTCAAATTTTTGAATTCTTATAACAAATAATTATACAATAAAAAAAAAGCTTATAAAAATTTCGACTAATAATTTTTTTTAATTTTCAAATGTGGAATGTTTTAATTAAATTTATTTTATAAAAATTTTATTGTTATAAAATTCTACAAAAATTTCTAATGTCTGTTAACTTCATTGTCATAATTTTAAACATAATATAATATAAATACGTCAACTATCGAATTAGATGACTCTTTGGCTCTTAAAGTTCAGTTCAATTTTAAAATGTCTTCTTAGGCTTAATCGTAAAAATTCTCTGAGCATAATTTTTGTTTTATGTAATCAATTTTGTACAATAAAATTTTTGTAAAGTAAATTGAAAGTTAATCAGTGCAAAAGGTTAAATAATAACAATTACATAAAAGTCAGCAGACACTTGACGTTTTCGGATGTTATTCAACAAATAAATTAGTTAAAAAAAATTATTTTTAATTAATTGAATTTATAGTTCTTGATGATTTTTGAAATGTCAAATTTTTTTTGTCATAATTTATTTGTTTAAAACAAAAAAATATTCTCAAATATCTCTTAATTTAATTATCACATAATATTATCAAGTGAAACCATTATCAAGAAAATGGATAATTGGATGACACTGAAATCAACAGGAACTGAACCATTCTTTGGGTTTAATTTAACAAATAAATTAATTCTAGAAAATTATTTAAAAAAATTGCATTTTTAGTATTTTACAATTTCTACATGTGTAATTTTTTTTGCACATTTATTTTCATAATAGGAGAAATTAACAAAAGATAATGACTGTACTGAGCGATTGTGCGGATATTTATGCAACAATACATATACTCTATTACACAATATGTTGTCACCTTACAGAAGTTCTCTTACCATGCTGAAGGATTTATTACCTCAGTACAATTTGGGTATTTGCAAGATTTTTATATTCCTTAACTTTTAGTATTTTATAATTTTGTAGAATTTTTTTGAATTTTTGGAAAAAAAATTTTTGGTTTTTTTCCATAAATATTTAAATTATTTAATAAATAAAAAATAGTCGAAATTTAAACGAATAAGTGACTCCCTCTCGCGTATGTGACGTCATAGTTCATATTTTGTTTGAAATTGTTGGCGCCAATCTCTTGCGGTACACTTTTTTAAGCACGTGTAATCAGCTGTTGTGATTGTTGTTTAAAAAAAAACGTTTTGTAGTGTTATTTATTATAATAATCAAGAACTATTTAATTATTTGATGGCATCAAAAAATGGTTGTTGTTGGTGTATAGTGCCAACATGTAAAAATATTGGTAAATCTAAGGCAAATAAAATTTTTATAAATGTTCCATTAAATGCATCGAAACGAAAAAATTGGTTAGATGCATGTGGAAATAAAAATTATTACTCAGCATCAAGTCGGCTGTATTGTTGTGAAGATCATTTTGACGTAAGTATTGGTAAAAAAATACCTGAAATTCATCTAAAATAAAATCATAACCTTAAATTTTTTTTTTCTTATAAGCGTAGTAATTAATAAATAAGTTATAAGTTGTTGATAAGTTATTAATAAATTTTTATAAATTTTAGCTACAAGTGGACATGGAAAATATTTATTTATTTATTTATTTAAAAATTACTTGTTTAAATTAATTTTTAATTTTTTTCCCTAGTCTTTTACTTATTAAAGAATGCGTTAATTACATTTTTAGGGCAAAATCATTTTCATGCAAATACCCAATTCTATAAAAAAAAATCAAGAGCTCTGTACTACGCCAGACTCCTACCTGGACATGCTGCGAAAAATATTCTTACCATACCGATGTTGAATCTTCATACTCAATGAGAATGGCTTCAAAAGCAAAACATTAGTTCTAAAAAACTTACTAGTACCTGAAGAATTGAAAAAATTTTTAGATACTTTATACAAAACTGACATAGATATTAAAATTATTATTGACAACTACAAATAAGATTTCATTGATGGAGTATTGAAGAATACCCTTAGCTTGATGAAGTATAACTCATTATGATTTCCTATTACAAAGTTATAATAATAAAACCTACAAATAATTGTGAGAGATAAAGAATAAAAAATTCTTTCAATCTTTTTTCTTGTGGATACCCCAAGGGAATATGTATGTTATAAAATATGTATGCTTACGTTTTAAAAATTATTATATTGTAACTGTTTTTATTTTATTTGACTTATATTCATTCCCTTTTGATATATTTTCACTATCTTTTCAGTTAAGGAATCCATATTATTATTAATAATTTTTTTTACTCAAGGTTTGTATTTATTATTATTTTATTTAGCCAACTCAATCTACTTAAAAATTTTTAATTTTTATCAAGTACACACTTTAAAGTCAAGATTATCTATAATTATCTTCTTGACACTGAACTGTATATTTAATAAAAATTAAACATTTTTAAACGGATTGGATTTGCCTAGCATAATAATAATAATGGTTATTAATAATATTAATATTGTTTATTAATTTTATGTGGTACTTTGCAAAAACTATCTACTCGCCAAATTACTAATGACCATAATATCTGGAAAAAACCAACGAATAAATTTGCATTAATTTAATGCTGTGCTACAAAACAGCAGCTCGTAACATATTTTGGAATGCACGTTACAAAATATGAATTTGAAACAATTTTATTCATACAAAGGGAGTATTCAGAAATATCAATCGGATTTTAAAAATTTCTTAATAAAATACAAAAAAAAATATTACAACAAAATCCTTGAATAAATTTCTGAACTTGTTCTTATAAAAATAAATGTAATACAAAATAATTTTAATACAATAGTAAATAATGTTATTAAATATTTTATACATGTACATTATAATAATATTTATAATAATGGTATCTCATCACTATTTTATAAATTTTATAATATAATAATTGTAAATGAATAAAGACAAAGATTTTATGTAATTAGAATAATGAATTTCTAAAAACATTGCTGCTTCATTACATTTTTATTTTTAATTATAATATTACTATAAATTTATTTATTTAATTACTTAGTTGATTATTATTTGTGTATATAGCTCAAAAGACAATAATAAAAAAGTATTAATTAGACAAAGTCTATTTTTTTTTTTCATTCGTTAATAAATTTTTATGTTTGATTACTGGTAAAAAAAATTATTAAAGTATAATTTATATGAAATTTTAAAAAATTCTCCTTCAATTACATTGATTTAGAATCATTTTTTTCTCCCTAATTAAATATGAATATTATAGCAAAAGGTTTTAATTAATTGATATATTTTTACTGTATTAAAAAATCTTACGTATTTATAAATATCTTCGTTACAAAAAAATTCAATGGTTGAGTCAATGATGTGACTTGATACCGTGTCAAAAAATAGCATATATAAATTCACGACAACAAAAATCTAATAATAATAAAGAGTGAAAAAAATATTAATAATAATAAATCGATCTATTTACATAAAATCCTTGGAATAAAGGTATCATTAAAAATTAATTTTTAATCGTTTTCCAGCAAAGAAAAAAATTTGATATTTAACAATTTTATGTGTTTAGATAACACATCTATAGCAAATAGTTTGCTAGTTCATTAATTATTATTTTTAATTATCAGCATTATATTTTTTTTTTTTTTTTGATTTCCATTCGCATATTCAGTACGAGCGTTACTATTTAAAACTGAACATCATAATAAACGCTCTACAAATGCACCAAGTGGACAAAATAATAATTAGTAATATTATTTTTAAATTAATTTAGATTTTAATTAGTAATATTATATTATCAACCAACACTATCGCCCATCATTTCTGTTGCTGTTGTATTTTTCTTGTTATCATTCGTTTCTAATTCGACGTCTGGATCACCACATGCATCGACGAATTCCTTAAATAAAAAATTTTAATGTAAATTATTTAAATATTTAAATATGACAATTAAAATTTTATACGAGAATATTCAATTGATTTAAATTAAAATATCCAGTGACAGTTTAAAGTAAGCATCTAATTTTTTTATAATAATTATCAAAAAATTTTATTTATATAATTCTTTATTGAAGCAATTATTTTGACAAACAGCATAAATCACCTTTAGAAGGTAATTTCAATTGGTACGATACTTTTGGACAAAGGACTCAGTAATGAGATATTATGTTTAATTTTATTAAATACTACATTTCTTACTTCTTTATTAATATCTTCAGTGGCATCTGCGGAAATGTGATCCCCCAGATCTGTCGGTGTTTGAGTGGTACTTGTAGAAAACTGATACTGCTCTCTATCTTTACGTTGTGCATCAGCATCGATTGCATGAAGCCGTTCTCTGCTTCGTCGTAACTCTTTACGCAATCTATCCCGCTCTTCATCTCGTTCTTTCACGATTTTCTGTTTTTATTAAAACCAAAAAATAAAAATTAATTTCTCTAAATATTTTAACGGGGATAGCCACTGTGAAATTTCACAAAAAAAAAAATTTTTTTTTTTTGTTATTAAATCCAAGTTTATAGATTCAAGAATATGGATCTAGAGATTTGTATCAAAATTCCGAATATTTTCCGAGTTATAGTCATTTTTCTGACAGCGCGTCAAATGACTTTACACGCGCGGCACTCCGGCGAAAACGCGTTTTTTTCGAAACTACTTTTTTTGAACTGATGAGAACTGTAATTTGCATAAATATGAACCGATTTGTAACTTTTTTTTTCCTTGTATTCGTCTATTCAGTAGCTATAGTTGCACGTAGGGGATTTTGAAAATTTTGATTTTTAAGATTTTTTAGGGCTGTTTTTTTTTAAATCTAAATTTTCAAAATCCCCTACGTGCAACGAAAACCAGAGATCGCATCATGGAGGGGGAAATTTTTTTAGTGCTCCACAAAAATGCTAATAACTTTGTAACAACATGATATTTTTTGATAAAAATTTAGGAGAATAATCTTTAATGTATACTTTATAAAACAAAAAAAAAAAAACCCGATCCCCAAATTCCTTTATTTTCCCAGTCAAAAAAATTCCCGAAAATCACCTATTTTTTCGATCCTCACAGTGGCTATCTCCCTTAAATAATTTAAAATATAAAAAAAAAATTTCTCACCAAAAGCTGTGAAAGTTGTGTTGTAAGGGAATGGCAAATAGGTTGTAGAGTTACAACAGGAATCACAGGCTGGTGTGGATGTGGATGTGACCGTGGAACGGGGCATCCCGCAGCGTCACAACCAGTACTAGCAGTAGCGTTAGTGCCCCGTGTAGCCAAAACAGCTTCTGTTTCCGTAACAGCCAACGCCGAGTTAAGTATACCGACCAACTGGTTAGCTTGGCTGATAGCTGCGAGTATCAATTCAGCCGGTTCTTTCTCGACAGCTGAGGGCTCAGACGCGATATCAGCGACATGCTCAAAATCTTCCTTCGGGATGTTCAAAATATCCGCGACCAGTGACTGTTTCTCCTCGAGTGCTTGTTTTATTACTTCGTCTTTCCGTCTCAGCGATTCGATCGGCGTGAGAACTGGCTCAGCGACATGTACTGGCCGTACTTCTGCGTGTACTTCAACAGGATCAATAAGTGAACACTGTGTGCAAGTAACCAGTCTCATCGATTCTCCGATTCCTGAAGATGGACCTGACGATGGTGGCTGCTGTTGTTGAGGCGGTGGTTGTTGATCTTGATTCTGATCTGATTGCGAAGGTTCTTCGAGCTTTGATTTCGAAGACTCCTCAGTCGCCGGAGTCTCGGGAGGTTCTTCAGGCTGTGTGTTTGTTGTCGTTGTCTCAGTACTTATTGGACTCTGTTCTTTCTGAACATCGTTATCTTTTGTTGCAGACTCTTGTGTTGCAGCTTTATCAGACTCTTTTTTATCAGGTGCATTCGCGTCCATGTTAAGCGGGACTTCTGGCGGCGGAGATGGCTCTTCGTTCAAGACAGTAGGCGGTGATGGTCTTCTACCCTCAAGGTTACGTGTTTTATAGGCCTCAGCGGCTTCTGATATGTGCTTACACCACATCTTACGTTCAGCAGGCGACGACGCGACTAAATCGTAAATTTGTGCTCCCTTTTGTGACGTGTTGACTAAAAAGAGTGAATTTTTGTCGACAGCATTGTTTCTGACAAGTACTGTAGACATCTTGAAAATAGGACTCAGCACAGAGTTAGCTGGATTGGTGCTGGTAAATTTCAATATATACTTGTCGTCTTGCCGGTGAAGTAGGAGTATCGTGTCGTCGAGTAACACAACGTGTAAATCAACAGGCTTCGGGCGACTAACGATGCGCCACTGTAAGGGACCCTCGAATATTAAATTACGCTTAGTAATATCTAGATTTTTAAACTCTTGGACTGCTGGGTGGTCGAATTTGTCGAAAGCAGATCTGTCAATCATTCGCAGTATCTCGGTTAACCGTTGACAATCTTCAGCTTCACGCACAGCTTGATTTACTAGACTGAGTATCTCTTTACTGCGCTCAACAGCACGCAATACCGCTGCTTTCTCTTTTTCACAGCTATTGGGTGTGTACTTAGCCAAGTTCTCAAATAGCAATGGATATTTTGTCAATCTGAGCATACCTGTCAGAATGTGATCTTTAAGCTGCAGTCGTCTACACAGAGGATTCGCCTCAATCTCATTTAAAAACGAATTAAGCTTTGGGTCTTTACGACGTCTGTCACGCAATGCGTCCAATGCGACTTGTTGTTTAGCACAGTATGTCGAGGCAGCACGTTCAAATGCCTCCCCATTTTCACCATCAAACATTTCCAGTATTAACTCACCAACATCACCCACACATGGATTTTCTTTTTTCTTACGTTTCATTGCTTGATTAAAACGCGAGTGGATAGTCACCATTTCGTCTAGGTTTGAGAACAATAATTGCACTTGGTCCAATGGAAGAACTTGGGACTCAAGTAATGGCTTGTGGAAGACGTATGAAAGTACTTTCAAAGCGCGTACGTGTGACCTTTCCGTGTGGAATAATTCTAAAATAGTTAAAATAATATTTATATAAATTTATTAACTTTAATAAAAAAAAAATTGATGTTATGAATAAATTTTTTAAGTGTAAAGTAATAAAAATTTAAATAAAATTACCATTAATAACTTCTTGTCTTTTCTTTTCAGAGTTACTGAGATTACTGAGAACCTCTTCAGTAACTCCATGGCTCCAATCCGGTGGATCTGGTTCGACATCAACGTCACTATCCCACGAGTTAGATGTATGATGACCAGCATTTGCTGGGTGAACTTGTTCTAAACTAGTACTCGGGCTATCTAGACTTCGTGTTGATAGGCTACTATTTGATGAACTGCCAGCGGAATTACCGGGGAATGCAACTGTCGCCTCACAGTCACTGAAAAAATAATTTTCATTATTAATAATTAATTAATAATTAATCATAGATATTATCATTAATTATCACGATTACTAATTACTAATTACTAATAATAATAATAATAATAATAATAATAATAATAATAATTAATAATCAATAACCAGTAATTAAATACCTCTCAGAGCGAGTTCGGCGCTCAATGAGCCCAAGAGTCGCGCTATCTCTATTAGAATTAATGTTAATACAATTTTGATCGGCGCTCAAACTTTTTTCAAGACCATCTGGCCTTTCATGTGACGAAGCTACGTCTTCACGCGTTATAATATCGGGAATAGTATCATCAGCACGGGAATTAGGTCGAGGACGTCCTCGTCGAGAACTTCGTTGTCTCATTATTATTTTATATATATAATAATATACCAGTGAACCTCCGTTTTATGTTTTTTAATGCAAATATAAATACACCCTCCTTGACAACCGATAAAAATTCCGTCGCTAATATGATAATAATAAATCCCAGTCTCCCTTCTGTTATTTTCCTCTCAAAGTTTTTTTTTTTTTATTTATTTTTACTCTCACCTCCCTACAAGAATTACTTCTTGTTAGATTAATCTGTGAAACCTTTAAAGTTATTCCAAAGGTTGTCAACAAATGTGTCACTTGGACGATTTTGTTCTTGTTAAAATAAACTACCTCGCGTAGAGTACATTGACATTTTTTACTATTAAAATATATAATTTATAAATTTGGCAAAAAAATGATCCAATTCACGACAAAAAAGTTATTTATAATTTATAAATCACAGCAACCAAAAGTAAAAATATTTTTCGTAAATTTAGATTTATGAATTAATATAAAAATATCCATATATTAAATGAGTCAGTGGACGCATTTATTTAACAGTCTTATCGAAGCCGCTCCTCAATCACTTTAATCAAGCTCTAGATGGTGGTTCTGCTACCCACCAGCCCTCGTTTATTCCACGACAGTTAAAGCCAAGTGAACTGTATAATCTATTTGTGTTATCTATCTGTGTTCATACACACAATCTACGTGCTGTTGATTTTTTTCTCGCCTCTCGCCTCGTCCCTATTTAATTCACGTGTTGGTTGGTTATATACTGAGTAAGGATGAGCAATTACTGGTGCTGGTGGTTAATGTATGGAAATACCGACAGGAGTACTCTCTAGTACAGTACGTATGGTTTATATAAATCCACCAATGAACAGTATCACAGAATAGTGCGCTTGTGTAGATACTCGGACGGAGGCTGAGCCTATGGCTATCGCTAAGTATTGATTCTATTCAATCGATCGGTTAAAAAATAAAAATAATAAAAGTAAAATAACCCTAATACTTAGCTATCAAGATAATTATAACGAGGTAGTCGTCTTTTCTCACTGTTAGCTCCTTACCTCTAACACTTTTATTATACAGTGTTATTATTGATTTATGTATTTATATATTTTTATTTATCAATGAAAAGTCACCCTCTAATACTATACACGATTTAATATTATCGATCTTATATTCATATAAATTTATTATGTTTATATTTTTTTAAATTACGTTTACAATGTACTCTAGCGATGTAATTAATATTTTTCCACTGTCGTAACTTATAATGACGGGAGCGGCAGGTCAAAGAAATAATTTTACTACATCGTTTTACTGAGTAAACTTTGCTGATAAGACGTAGAAATTTTTGCGAATTACAAATATTTGTTAGTAAAACTAAATTTATTTTTTACTTTATTATAACATATTTTAAGAAGAATTTTATCTAAGAAAAATTATTCAAATTTTATGAATGTATTTTGTATCGTTTGTAGTGAATATTTATTTTAGTCTTGCAAGGCCACTGGCGATGAAGCTGTTATAATAAACATATATATATATATATATTTTCAACTAATACCACTGGGATGGTAAAAAATTTTCAAAACAAAATTTTAGGCACAATTGATTATTTTAGCAAATTGATATGATTGTAGTTTTGATACGGCAATTGATAAATGATTCAAGTTTATAGTAGCAACTAGTTATTAAATTACGAATAAAAGTTTCTGACTAGAGATAGTTGTGAAACTGATGTTTAGACACACTGTCATACACCAGAAGTGATATTTACGTCCGTAAAAACACGGGTCTAACGTCACACTAAACTTCGACGTAGCTTTTAGGAGGAAGCATTAAGAAAGAAAGACAGAACTCGAGTCCCGGCGACGAGGTAATATGCGATTCTGCGCACGTGTGTATGTTGTGGGTGCTACAATCAGCTTGATATTATATTTTGCCAAATATACTTGTTGTTATAGATCGACAGTGAAGGTCAGCTCATTTCATAAAATTTAAATACCCGAGATTCGTCAAATAACTTGTAAATTATAGATATTTTACCAACTTACTTTGTTTTCGACAGATTTGGATCGCTGGTCTTTCGCTTTTCACGAAGTTGTCGCTGAAATCAAAGTGTCAATATTATTATCATTTTTAAACTTATCAAAACAATTAGTATTTTCATAGATAAACGGTAATATTACCTTATGATGTATACGCTCCTTGTAACTTTCAGACCGATTTATATTTGACGTCTTTGGTTTACTGGAAATATTTTGCTGCACCCTGATGACAAAAATTAAATATTAATAACATTACAAGCATATAGAGGTTAAAATTATTTTTTTTTGTTTGATTTTTTTAAATTAATTTCAATACACAAATTGTTTAATAAAATAAAATTAAAAACATTGTTTATTTGAATAAAATAGAGAAATTGACAATAATTTTATTTATAAATAAATTCTTATTTACATCAGAAAAATATTGTTAATTCTGAACATTTTGAACTCGTCTGTATACAAATGGTCAGTACTATACCTCATATCAGTAATTAGACATAAATACATGTACCCTGCTACCCTACTAATTAAAGGTAACTCTCTATACTCTCTGTTTATTTGTGAATAGAATAACCTTTACTCCAAAATGGCAACCAATATACAAAAATTTCTAAATGGCAATTTAATAACAAAGTCTGTAGTAATTAATAAAGAAATTTAATCAAAAAAGAAATCAAAATATTTTATATTTTTTTGAAGATAATATAGAAAGATAAATTTTTAAAATTAAATTATTGGAACTTTTTTTATAAAAATAAAATTTGAAATAACAGTTTTGAATTTAAATCAAAAAAAAAAATTTTTCGTTGATTAATTAATAAATAAAAAATTGAAAAATTAATCATGTCAAAATAACAAAATCGAATAGAGTCTAAATAAGAAAGTACTATTATACGAAATTGCTCAATTTCGAAATGTTAAACTGATACTTCATGCAAATTTTTTTCTCTTATCAAAGTGATCTCTGAAGTACTGACCTAATAAATAAAATTTTATTCAATTTAAACTCATATTATGTACGTAATTTTTAAATAAAACAACTATCTTACATTTCAGAGATATCTTCTCGTGAAGAAGGATCGTCCATACTATCGAGATGATCACCGTAACCGGAAATACGTCCTCTTTCAACACTACCACGGGTGTTTCCGCTTGCGCCGCCCCCGCGATGCTCTCCTGAAATGACAATTTACCCAACATTTATTATCATTGTAATTATCATAATTTAAATATAATAAAATAATATCTTGGCATGAAAACATTTTTTTGCTGTTTTTCACCTCGTAATTCTTGTGATTTCTATCATCCTTACATATTTATTCAATCGTGATATATTTTGGCAGCAACCCAACTATCAGATCATAACTCATCAAAGTTAGTTAAATCTTACAAAATTCCCAGTACCAAGTTTAGACTAAACTCTCTCTTTCTTTTTCTATTTATCATTTTCAGTTTCTTCTTGTCTCTGTTTTTTACATTTATTTTTTGTACTTATTATTTTGGTTCGACAGCTACCAATATTATGTATTAGCGCATTACATGTTCAGAGTTAAACCAACAATAGATGAGAAATAGTCCAGGATAAAAGATCTTACATCTTTTCCCCTGTTCAACATAATTGACTAATTGTTTAAGGAAAAGACTTAAAGATCAAGTTTCCGGTAAAAGTTATTTTTTCTCCCCTGCTAACAAGGACCGATAAGGAAAAAGCATGACACAGCTTTTTTACCCACCCGTGCATGTTATAATAAAAATAACTGCCTTGATTTTTTACCGTGGACACGCGACGTGTGACACGTGCCCTTGTACTCCCTTTTTTACCATCCTAATCTCATTCACTTGTTATTAATTTTTTAGATGCTAAATATTGAATCTAGTTTAGGCTAGATTTTTAATCCTACAAAATAAATATTTATAGATTAAATGTTTGTGCTTTATTTATTTATTTATTTATTTATTTATTGGCATTAAGTATATTAAAGATATTTGAATTTATAGACTGAAATGTACGCCTGGTAAGTAACAGAAAAGACATTAAGTCTTGTTGAGTGCGGTTTATATTAGAACTCAACTACTGCGTTGCATACACGTGCAAGAAGATATTTGTAGCACGCGATAGTAAAATACATACATTAAGTACACATTAAAAATATTATTCTTATGCTATGACTCGTATATTTAAATGACAAAATAATTTTAAAATAACAATTACCACTTAATAACTAACGGCCTACTTATAATTTTAATTGCTGATTAAAATATATGAAAAATAATTAATATTATCAGCAATAATGGTTTTGTAGACAAACCTTTCCAGTTATTATTAAAATTGTAACTTTCCAGTTGATCATAAAGCGAATTATTGATGTCAAATGTGTCAGTTGTTTCTCCGTAATTGTCATCGATCGAAAGACGCCGTACACTTGTGGGAATATGATCCACGTGAACAATTAATTCATCTGTCGTATTAATCACATCACCACAGCTCCCACGGATACGTTTAACAGCTCCAAAAGTTTCCCAAACTTTAACAGCTATTGTTTTTTTTTTGCTTGAATTACTGAGTAAATTCTTCGGTTTTGTTGTTTTCTTCGTTATTCCTAAATACAATTTTTTTATTCATTTTATTTTCTCACTTATTTTATTTTCGTTTATTTATTCACCAGTTAAATTTAAAATAACATTCTTACTGTTGACGAATTTACAATAAAAATTTTATTATTCAAATATTTTAGTTTAAAAGTTAATCAACTGTTTTATTTACTTTCATAAAGTAATAAATTAATAAATTATTAAAATTAACGTTATAAAAATTCAATATTAAAAAAATAAATAAAAAATTAGCCAACAGTAAGTGCTTTAGATTTGAAACGTTGATATTTCACGTTACCGTCAGTCTTGAACTTGCGATGAAATCTGTTTTTGTGTCTCACAGTAGACAATTTTAGGTTGCCAAAGGCTGTAGACATCAGGGGTGAAAAATTAGTATCCACATTCTGGTAGTGGGAGTCATGATCTTCTCCCTCCAACAATTTATCCGTAACTTTTACCTCAAGCATTATTTATAGTTTAATGTGTGCGTATAAATCCATATACACTTACACACTAACATACACATTAATAAAATCACGGAAAAAAATTACACTTTTAAAAACGATTTTAATTTTATGACAAGTATTTTAAAATTTTATTTCTGATAAATTTTTATTTAAATTCAAATATATATGAAGAGCAATAATAATAAAGCTAAATATTGCTTTGACACACTAAGCTTAATGCAAGCTTCTTTAGTTTTTTATCTAATAAAAAATTATTCAAGCACATGAGAAAATTTAATTATGAAGCTTTAGAGTAATTACATTTTAAAAAGTGTTACTCACTAGAAATAAATTAAAAAATTTTCTAAGTAATTCTTATGAAAATAATATGATTAATTTTTTATTATGTCACAGAAATTACTGCAAAAATTTCCAACAGTGAATTTACACTAAATTAAATATAAACATACGTATAATAAAAATTTTCTTATTCTTATTCATTATATACATCATCAAAAAATTAAATTCAACTGATGGCTAATTTTATTAAAACATTGAGAATTAATTCTCAACACTTCCTTTCAACAGTCGGCGGTTTATTTCCGGTCTCCCACTACTAGACAAAACTTTCTCACATCACATCCCGCACATTTCCTTCCTCTGTATTCGTAAAACTTTGGTATCCCATCCATACGTACGGTCCATCCTAAATGGTATACTATTCGTAGAGTAGTTTGTAAGTGTAGTGAGAAATACCGTATTAGTAGTACGTATGTTGTACACATGTGAGAACTAAAAAAAATCCAACATACTGCTACTACGGTGTAGTCACGTATTATATGCTTTGCTCATCAATCTTGTATTGAGAGTCAGCTTGCTTACTTTTATTTATTTTTCTCTTGTTTTTGGAGCGATATCCCGCCACTTGGTAGATTGAATTCATAAATGATTGATGATTTGATACTTGGTTGATAAATATTCAAAATTTTATCACACAAAACACACTTTCATATAACATATTCACATACAAGATATATACACGTATATTTGAGTTAATTGTTTTATTACACTCGACATCAGTAGCATATGTTTAAATAACCACTGAGATCCAGCATTGTTTTAATGACACTGCGATTGTCGAGGGGACGTGTCGGGTAGAAACGCCTACGAGTTATATGATCATAATACAACGAGAAGAGTAGAAGTACTCGTATGCTAATTATTTAATTGAAAAGCTCATTTGCCTTTTTTACTGTGCCATATGATCTGTCTTTTCCTTTACAATAATTTATTTCACATTACAATTTACACAAACAACACTGTCGGCTTTTGGCGTAATTTGGTTTTTTTTTTTTTTTTTTTTTAAATTAAATTTAGACCGACGTTAACAGTAACAACGCATAAATGTATATCAAGGCAATTGATAATTGGGTGCTTTGTCGAACGGGATTATCGTAAAGACAGTTTAAATGTCTCTTTAATTGATATTTGATAATTTTTTAAATGTATTAGTCAAGTATTGTGTAGCTGAGTGGGAACTGATAGCGCCTAATACTAAGATGTTTTAAGTACATGAGTCAGGGACAACACAGCGGTCAATTTACCGCGACTAATCATATTACGCATACATAAATATAAATAGCTGTCGTAATGACTTAATGATCTACAGATAAGAAATATATATTTTCTTGGCCATTTCTGATATTTTATACTGGAGTTTTCTCGTTTAAATGCTATTACCAAGATTTAAAATTAATAAAAATAGTGGGTATTTATACTCACCATTTTCGCAGTCTCCCAATAAATTTTCCTCCTCAAGACGTTTTGAACGTTCGACTGAAAATAATTTATTGTCTACATTTAATTTGATATATTATTTCAATTTATTTAATTATTGATTTTTTAATATTTATCAAATTATTTAAAATATTTACTTAGATGCATTTGATTTGGTGAGTGGTGGTGATGATGAGACGATGGCGGTTTTCTTTCTGGTCTTATACGGTCCATAAGTTTGCTGATACGATCATTACCACGCTCCTTACGTGGCAATGGTCCTGGACAACTTTCCTCGACTACACGAACACATTGACGGTGAACACTTAGGGAGCAATCTATAAATAAAATTAATAATCGTATATTTTTATTTGTAAAAAAAAAATTCTTATTGTAACTGTCAGTAATGTTTGTTTTTAATTATTCAAAAACTTACCATTGCATTGGTATCCTTGCGGACCGATTCCACCGATAATAAGTTGACAATGATTACAATACGTAACAGTAAAATATTGATGTGCTCCAAAATGATGACCTCTTACTGCCATTTTCCTAGTTTTACCAGTAAGTAAACGGGCTTTAATGTTTGATTTGTCCTTAGCTACAAAAGTAGGCACACGATCAAGCGATACCGATCGTACTTGAAATATTTTAGTTAATATCGTTGCTAAGCCAGCTGCAGTCGTAAATTGACGTAGATCCAATTGATCTTTTTCAATGTCTTCTCTGTAAATATAAATCCAAAAATTAATTAAAAATTTTCTAATTACACTGATGCTACTGATAAGTTTTGACACGTACAAATACGGGTCCATCTTGGGCAGGAGATAAGTCTCTATAATTTTAGTTTCTTTAGATTTATCAGACTCGCTTTCGTCAAGCTGAGAGTCACTTGGCCCAAATAGCATCCCAAGACCTGCTGTCCTTTTTTGTTGGAAGTCTGCTAACTGCTCATTCAATTCTTCCTTCGCTCTTGTTCGAGCCTTCCAAAATATCTTACGCAGTATTTCTTCCTTATCAGATTCTCGTAAAAGAACGTCATCTATTTCGCGTGCTACATTCTCGTCTACGTTATTAAGCCGTAGAGGCTGAACAAGGGAAATACATATATCATTAAAGATATTTTTATAAATATTAAGTTTAATACTTACAGCACCAGGTACTAAAAAGCTAGAATGAATTTCGTATGCCCATTTTCTCATTTCCTTAGCATTACCTTCCTTATACAAGTCTGTTACTAAGTAGAATAACTAAAAAAATTTATTTCAATTATTAAAAATATTCTTAAAAAAAAAAAAAAAATATATGTATTTATAATAGTGGTAATGATAATTAACGTACCAAACTTGAAGGATCACTATTTGATAGAACGTAATTTATAAAAACAGAAAGATGCGCATGGTGTTCCCATAATCTAGATAAAGATTTAAATGGCCCATGATCTTCAAGTTGACCCTAAAAATACAAAAAAATTATACTATACAACAATAATTAACACGATGAATCAAGTTAGCACCTGGCGGCTAATTTCAAGTAATATATCAAAATTAATTTATTAAAATTTAATTTTTGGCAACTACTTGAGCGTCAATTGATCCCTTGATTCCTTTTATTTTCATTTTTGTGAGATTTAAGCAGAACAGTATTAATAAATTATGGTTTAATAATTAATTAAACAAAGTCTTACCACTTCTTGATCACTCATATCATCGTCTTCCATCGACATTATAGGTTGTTGAATTTGGGGTAATCCAGGACTACTTTCATTCAAAGACTGACGGTTTGGGGTTACTGTCAGAAAACTATCTGCACTCTGAAGCAATAACGGACAAAACTATATTTAATTAATATAATCATAAATTAATAAGAAGAAATTAAATAAATAACACCAATTAAAGTAAAAATGAGACTGACCTCATTGAGAGTTGCCGACAAAACATCAACCCCAGGACTCGGTTGTGGATAAGGCGGCGGTGGTGTACCCGGGGGTGTGATATGGATAGGATCATCTAAATCAATCCCGCTTAAACGTCCGTGCCCGAGATGGTGTCTGGATGGTGATAGATCGTTCATTGATTCCGATGCTATCAGCAGTCTACTGGCCTCAGACGGTGAGATCATAGTCGTACTCAATTGCTCCGGTGAGGATTTAGTACGTTGATGTTTGTTAAGTGAATTCGGTGACCCCAAATGCGCGTCTTGCGAAAACTATCAATTAATAATTTTAAAAATTATTCACACCAATATTATAAAAAAAAAAAAAAAAGACACAGAAATTAATTATTTACAAAAATTAACCATTAGTTAGTTGATTATACATTTTTTGGTAATAAAATTTTATAACAAACTTTCAGACATGTTGTTAGTGCCAAATTTAATCCAGGAATTGAATAATACGTCCTTTAAATTCCTTTAAGTTATGCAAATATGCGTATTGATTAATGAATAAATAAATATAATTAATGAATTAATGAGGAAGATAATTGGAGCATTCTCACTCTATACAACTAAACATAACTATGACAACAGAATGTTAAAAAAAAATTGGCAGCATTAACACGTGTGATGAGTCGATGACACTACTTACAGAGTTAGGTATACCATGACTGGTGGTTGGGGGCGTTAAATGAGTCAGCAGTTGTCTCTCCAGCTCCAACTGTACGTTGTGCGTGTTTGAGGTGGGTGGAGGTGGTCGTGGAGGCAACGGAGGTGGGGACAAACTCTGCATGGACAAGGATTTACGTGAGGGCAGGGGTGGTGGTGTGTCACCAACAACAACAACACCACTACCACCACCGCTACTGCTACCAGAACTGGAATAATGACCAGAGGGAGACGAGGCGTTTGTTACCAATGAGCAAAGCTGTAAGACAATAACAGCAAGTTAGCTAGTAAACATATATGTGTTAGCGCAAGCACTATTATCTCCGGTCTCCAACGAATGGGTAAGCTTTTTTTAAACTTAGATAAAATTTTTAATTAAAACCAAGGTGAAATATCCAATATCAGAACAATTTCATAGATATTCTTTTCTATTTAATTTAATTATAAATGCAATTCAATCCAACGGAACATTTTATTTAAAGCCTATCTAATATATCTAAAAAATATACTGGTATTGGGTCTTTTACCTTATTTTATTTAACATGTTAAAATTATGATAACGATCAACTAATTATTATGATAAACATTCTTACTAATAACTAGTTAACATCTATACTATCAATTTTAAACACTTAACTAAAAATAGCGGTTATTTAAACTAAACATTCAATAAAATACTTATCGATACCATTAAGTTGTCCTTGTTTTTAGTTATTATTAAATTTATTGTAATGCTATTATAGTACCTGATCATTGGTTGTTATTGCTGTCAGTTGATCCTGGAGAGTGCGAACTCGTCTTTCAGCTCCAGCCAACTCAGTCTGTAATGTTGCGACGCTCGATACGTTCCCGGATCCAATACCCATTTTAGCAAGTTCACTTCGTAATTTATCAACATAACTCTGCTCCTTTTCTAACATCAGCTGAAATGTATGAACACGTTGTGTCTCCAACTGACGTTTTTTCTCGTGCTAAAATATGTTTTTTTTTCTTTTTTAATGTCTATTTATATTATTTTAATGCCATAATTTAATATTTATCTATCAGTGTGCGTAGGAATAAAAATAAACCAGAAACCCATGTTTAAATGATAAAATGAAAAAAAGAAAAATAAAAAAAATATATTGATGAATAAATGAATAAGTTAATAAGAAAAGTAACTAAATAAAATAAGTAAAATAATAGTAATCTTACTTTTTTATTAAATGCAGTGGAGATGAAATCAGTAAATGACGGTGCTCTAACCAGTAAAAACGGAAAAATAAGCTTAGGAATAACAGATAAAGCAGAATAATCAATAACATGATTAGCAGCAGAAGCGAGGGTGTAAATAAGAGCATGTCGTACTTTATTGTTATTAATATTATTATGAGTATGATTACTACTACAGCCCAAATTACTGTGACTTACGTCGACAGGTTGGGGTCCAGTTATACGTGCAGTGCAAGGAGCACCACCGGCTGGTGCTGTTGATGCCCGATGCAAAGAAGTAGCGGATTGTGAAGGTGATACCATTGTTGATGCTGCCGACAAACTCGTCGGCCTTTGTTGTTGTTGATGCTGCTGTTGCTGATTGCCCACAGTTGTTCCCACTTGCTGCTGCAACGCGGCCAATGTTGTACCCAGTGGTTTTTGCTGCACTGTCAAAACCACCTGCGTCGATGCTGCAAACACAAGTTCAAGGCTTTTAATTTTTAATGAGTCATAAGATATTTTTGCACGCGGTTCGCACTCTGATGTTTAGAATTGTTTAACATATGTTTTCATAGCTTACGATTAGATACTTTTTATTTTATATTGTAATACACTTTTTAAATAATTATTATCTTTTTAAAGTAGTTTGAAGTTACTTTAATGGGTTCTTGGAATGTAATAAGCTTTTGATAATTTTTATTGGTCTTGGTTATTATTGTTATAATTATTTGAACGTAATCTACGAAAATAAACTTCAAGGAGACTTTTATTAATATGTACAATAGCTGACATTTGGGAATATATGTTATAGAGGATTTTTTAAAATTTATTTTTTTCATGACAGTAAACTTGATGATTTTTTACTTTTTAAGGGCAATTCTAACGAAATATAATTTGTTTTATATTAAACAATAGATAAAATGAATTAAGAAGCATCTGAATGATTTTTGTAACCTATTTTATGTAATTAAATTATCAGATAAAATGTAAAATATAATAATTAAGATTAAGGTAGGTCATTAAATGTTATTCAAGGATAAAAAATGAGTTATGACTCGAGATGTATATTATAATTTTATTGATTTTATTAGTTAGTTATGATTAAAAATTTTAATTTACCGGCATAAATTTCAAGGGGACCTTTTAAGTGCCATTTATGAGATACGGTATAAGATGTTGGTTCTTTCATATTATTAAACCGATAATTTTAATTATGTCAAGTAATTGAATATATATATATATATATATTCTTTCGTATAAAAAAAATATTTATTTTCTGGTTAAAAATTCTTAAACACCGATAGACTGCAATAAAAATATAAATAAATGAATAAATAATAATATAAAACACGTCTCTTAAAGTCAACGGAATGGACGAAACTGCGTCAGAGTCTGTGATGCGTCAAAATAAAATGAGGAAATCTCAACAAACCAGGCATCTTGACTTTCAGGTGTTATATTAATATAAATGACGAGATACACGACTAAAAACTGTGCGTGGATTTTAATTTATTAGATATAAAATGGATTTTGTTTTAAAATATTAATGTTTGACAATTATTAATAAATTTTGTCACAATCTAAAAATTAACTTGACATTGAGTCTATTTAATTATTAATTAAATAATTTAACTAGTATCAGCAATGATGAAATAAAACACCACTATAATTGAAATATGATTATTTAAATATGACACATCAAATTATATGATTAATAGACATTGTTCGCGATAATTTGTTTATTTTTTTAAATTAAACAACTTGATTATCTCCAACAAATTGTTAAATATTTTTGAGAGCAAAAAATCATCGTACCAACACTAATAACAAGCATTCAAGTTGCAAAATATTGCCACTGATTAATTAACCTGGCTATTGAATATTAATTGTAGCTGGCAATGCAGAGAATCGATTTAAAGAAACTAATCGTATGAAATGTAAATTTAAAAAATTTAATGACGAGTATTTGTGGCAATAACGTAATACATGGACGGAAATATGTGTCAGGCGTCACTGACTGGATATACACAATAAATGTTTATAAACTAAATTTATTATTGCTATTGAAATTGATAATAAAATTGCAAATTTAAATTAGTAACTTCTTAACGCCTTGAAAATTAATTCATAATTTTGTTTGAATGTTGTTATTTTAAATTCCAACGAATTGAATATCAGAATATCATTATAAATAATTCCATTTATTTTTTATTTAATTAAGCATATTGATATACATTTGTTATTGTTTTGTCATCAACCATGATTTATATATATTTTAAAGTGTAAGTAGTGATGAAATGTAATAAAAATACAAAAAAAAAAAAAAAAAAAAAAAAACAAATAAATAATGAAAATAAAGGAAAAAAACGATAATTGTATAAAGTAATCAAGAAAATCGCGTAAAGAATGAATTAAATTCGAGTCACCGCTATAAACACACGTGCTTACATCATTAATGCCGCGGGCCATTGTGTTATTGGTGCATACGCAACTCGCACACATGGTCTAGGACAAGTATACAGACAATTTGCCACAATCGAAACAATATTGTAAATAAAATGAAAGCAACGACCTTGGATTTAATAAATATACAATTAAATATATATAAAAATATAGCTTGTATTAACTGAGCATAACAAAGAATCTTCATTTTTATTAAATCAACTTTTTATTATCTTTTTGATTGATGTTACTTGATTTCCTCGTAAACTTAATATGAGATTTTTTTATTAACTTACATTTTATTAGCTGCACAACTTCTGTATGCGTCGACTGCATAACATTGACGCCATTCACCTAAAAATAATGACATTAAAATTATTATTATAACTATAAACTTTTAGCATAAATATACATTTGTATAATTTTTATAAAATTATCTTACTTTTATGATTTTATCTCCCTGTTTTAGTCCAGCTCTTTCGGCAGCACCACCTATAAATTTGAATATCACATTATCATAATTGGTTTATAAATTTCTTCAGTAATTATAATCTATCAAACCTAAATGATTATTAAATTTATGTTGTTTAAAACTGTCTGAATTAACTAATTTTACCATATATATTTTTGTTAATTATCTAATGATATTGAATAGTTATTTATCACTTTATTGAATAATTTATTGTCTCGATATAAGATAATTAGAATACAAAAATTGTCAAGATTCAACTTGAATTCAATTAAATTTTACATACATTAACTTGAAACTCTATTTAATAAAATCAATACAAGAAACTTCTTGGTACCTACTGCAGTTAGGTTGTATAGATTAAGTGGGTTAGATGTTTTGAATGTTAACATTAGTTTTAGAAAACAATAACAAATCTCAATAGAACATATAAATACATCTGTTGATAATAAATATTTGATTAAAAAGAAAAAAAAATAGAAACTGCGTGGCAGTCCAAAAACTTATCAGTAAATCATAAAATGTTTTTTTAAATACACTTTTATCAATTGACGTAATTAAAAAATCCAATATAATGCATTTAAAATTATTTTTTAATCGTAGAAATTTGATACTTAAAATAAATCAATTTTTTTTTTTTAATTTGGTATTGAATAAAGTTTAAATAATTCAATAAAAAAGTTAAAAATAATAACAGCGTATATTGTTAAATTCAATCTATGATTACTTAATAAATAAATTTTATTTTAAAGCTACTGTAATTTAATTTTGATAGTAACAAATCATTTTATTATATTTATTAAAATATTACATTATAATTAAAAATGAATAGTATTTTTATTATTTTATAATAAATAAAACTAAAAAACGATTATTTTTAATAACATCTCCCCCAAATACAGCACTTGAATAAATGTAAGCTATTAATAAAAATAAAAGGAAAGTTACCTTCTTTGACGGATTGTACATAAACAGGATTATCACCAGACACCTTCATCCCGTAGCCCGCGTCGTCCTTGTATACGACGAGTGTAGCAACGGGTGGTGGTTCCTGTCCACCTCCGCCTCCACTGGCCCCAACAACACGACGTACCGCAGTCGTTCCATTCATCCCTTCGTTGTCCGCCACACCTTGACTCCAGGTTTCACCTTCTCCTCTCCAGCCCAATCCAATCTTCCCCGGCCAATCTTCCTACAAATCACCAGCATTAATTACATATACACACACACCCCAGCATATAACATACAAATAAAACGCTGAACACCGCAATTACAATACCTACAGCGTTTAACTGATAAAAGATAACATTCAAATCATTGTTATCAGTTAAAACATTATGATACAATCAATTAGTTTATGTCTATAATCTTTTAATCTCTACAACCGCTTGGGCTACATCAATTGAATTATCAAATGTATGATAATAATAATAAAAATAGGTAAACTACCAGTAAAACCAGCAATGTACAACAGCATTGTATGCGCATTAAAATTAATACAAAAATTTTTCGAAAACGACAGTATTAAAAGCATGTTTGGATGATTTATCTAATCTGTAGACACGCCTTTAATAGTAGGTACTGTAGTTATTATTTATTTTACATTAAGTGAGTGAGTGAGTTTAAGTTGGTAAGTGAATTTATAGTGAATACAGTGAGTCGAGTGTATAAAGAATACACGTCTAAAGGCGTCAATGAACATACTCATGATGCTAATAATGCTCATACTGGTGCTCTTTGCTCTACTATGGGCAGGTGGCTCATCCGGAAGTTTTTAATAACCTTGATCTTCTCCAAACATCCTAAACCCATTTCAATAATATTATTATCATTATTATAATTATCGAATGGACAATAAACAATACCCAATATTTTTTTACTTATATTACTACCTTATAATACAAAAAGTAGCAGGCTTTTAAAAATTTTTCTTATAATGTATAAAAAGAATTTTTGTAATTTTTATAGGCATGTCTTCATGCAAATTGATTTTGCAGTATTTTTGTTTTTTTATTTACAGAAATTCTCCGTCTGCTATTTTTAATATTAAAACTTGGTTTTTTATATTCATTGTATCAAGGCGTAGTATAAGTGTCATGGTGAAAATATTGTTTTGTCAATTGACACAGTAGTCAGGCATTTATTTATTCACTCGATCATCCAGCTTCTTAGTAATTTATTTAATAAATTTTATTGACACATTTTCCGACTTTTCGTTGATAATTTGCTATCAATCGACTATAAAATAGAAATATTATAAAATAAATACACAACCAAGTACACAATGATGATGTCTGTAGAAGAATGTTCCTTACCTTGATGACAGATCGTTACTTTAAATAGTTCCGTTATCATGATAATTGATATTTATTATTATTATTATTATTATCATACATAAACTGAAATTTATTTTCTCAGGACAATTGCGCAATTTATCAACGTATATAATTGTCTTATGCTTAAAAAAAATAAATTTCATAAAATTTTTAATGAAAATAGTTTTGGTACTAAAACTGGCAAGCATCTAAAATAGTTTTTTTTTTTTTTTTATTTAATAATGCAAAATAATTAAAAAAAAAAAAAAATTCAAGCGAAAATGTTCTTAAATTTTAATATGCATTTTGTTTAATTATTTTCGAAGGTAATAAAATTTTTTTTTTTAATATAAAACTGTCGGATGACTGCTATTTTCAGTAACACAAATAACTTATGAATTCTTACCTCTCATTTAAACGACTGGTAATGTACTCCAGGTAAATAAAATAAGTAGATGTAAATTTAACAGTGTTAAATAAAATGATAATGAACACTAGTAGTTTGTTACTATAAAATAAGTTATTGTTTATTGCACACTAGATTTATCGACGTTATTAAAAATAGGAAGACTATTGTCATAATATGTGAACACAGATTAACATTACTACTGACACAAATAATAATTGTTTCGTTGATTATACTTTCACGGCACATTGCGATGACGCGCTATCATAATAATTCATGTTATCAAAAGAATAATAAATATATAAATATTTAAAATGGGCCAAAAAGAAGAAAAGACTAAGATTAACAATAATAATAATGATAATAGTAATAAAAAGTATAATAAAATATAAAACTGGTCCCCTTAATTGTTTTAATAAATGGTATAATGTTGTATTAATTGACACTTGGATAATTAATAACTCGGTTTAATTTATACCGAGATATATTTTACCGAGGCACTTATTTATTTACTTTAAACATTTAAATTTATAAAAGTTATTTCGTTGAATCTCTTTGTCTACGTTTTATTATTTAAGTAACCTTTGTTTTGATATTATTATTTTTTATAAAATCCACGTAAAAATAATGAACAAAAATATAAAAAAGTCTACCAACAAGTTACAGCCATCTTGTTTAAAACTGAGTAACGCTAAGATAATGTATAAGAAAGTATTACAATCCTGCAATGCATGATGGGAAATGTGTCAAGATGTCGCGCCGCCACACGTGTGTCTGGCGCACTAATTCGTTTCTAAAGTATTTTCACGCTACCTCTCGTTGTAATAGAAATTATTTTTATCACTAAATATAATCAATAAGTTGTAATTAATAATTAGAAAATCTCATTAATTTGTAATTTCGTTTAATTTATTTATTCAGTAAGACCCGTATTTATTAAATGCGATTTATTATTCATCTTCAAAACAATTAATTAATTGATTGATTTAACGCGTGAAATTTTTGCTTACTTTTCAATTGAATAGACTGGGTTCGATTCCTGAAGAAATTTTTTTTTTTTTTAATTTGAATTATTATTATATCGATAAATTTATAGTAATTATGATTTGGATAAATATCATTAGTAAAAATAATTTAGAGTCTCTCTAATATTGGTTGAATATATACATTGTATTTCAATTTAATCGGTTCATTTTTTTAATCAATCAAATTTTATAATGGTAACACTACTAGTTAGTATATACGAAAAATTTGAATTATTTATACTCAATTATTTTTTTACACATTCATAGACTAATAAAAGATGTAGCCTTCCTCAGTTGTAAAATTTATCTCAATCCATTTAAAAGTTTAACTCATTTGCAAGCTTATCTCGTTCTCCATCTAAGGAATAAATCATTGAAATATTGACAATCAAATTTTAAAATACAATTTTCATATCGTCAATATACAAGAAAAATAGTTAAAACTTTTTAAATCAAATGTAAATAAAACGAATTGATTGTTTGAAATAAATATTTAATTAAATGCATCCAAATATTTAAGTGCAGGTACAAAAATTTGTAGCTTAAATAATAAACTTATAAATAATTACATTAATTACATTAATGATAACAACTATAAAGTTACACTGACAAGAATTAGAGCCACTCATGAAAGGATAAAAAAAGTCATAGGGTAAACTGATGTCTAAATTAGGACCTCCAGCGAAAAAATAATTATCTGGCATTGATACATCGTGAAATTTAACAAAACTGTTTATTTCATGATCGATTTTGTCCGTGCAATTAACTATAGGACATTTTGATAAACTGACATTACGTTCATTGAGAGTTATTGCTACTCCAACTATTTTATGGTACGTAGTATCGTCATCGGGTTTCGGTAATAATGAATACAGGATATCAATGTGTATGGACGTCGTTAAATTCCAACAGGATATTTTGTCATTAATCTTTTGGCCAGTGGCTCGCGCTGGTAGCTTGTTCAATAATATTTGATTCCAGTTTGTAACGTTATTGTTCGTGATATTACTTGTTTTTGATATAAATAATTTATAACCTTCAATAGACGTTATATTTATTAATGTCTGTTGAAAGTATGCCGCTATTATTTTTTTATTTATTTCGTTGCAAGTATCAACAGTAAAATTATTTGTTTCTAATGAAATAAGGCACTTTGATTTTAAATCTTCATTAAATTTAACAGTATATCTATTTTCTTCAGAACAATAATTGTTTTTGCTTCCTCCCAAAGGCACTGTTAATTGGTAATCCATTTTGTTAATGAAAATAAATTCCGTGACAATATTTTTCGATGTTGATTTCATTAGAGTACCAATTATTATCGGCTTACCGGTAATATAACCGGGATTCCCACTTATATAAATTACTTCATCGTTTGAAAATTCGGTCCACTCATACTTCACCTCAAAATGTTGGTGATAGCTCGTTGAAAAATTACCGAGAAGAATGTTTAGCTGAATTTTTTGTACACCCATCGTACCGTTGTGTGTTATCGTATAAAGAATTCGCTTAACGATATTATAACAGGTACCATTTTCGCATGAAGATTTTGATTGTAATGTTGTATTACACATAGACCACGCTTTCAGACAATAAATTGTTTCAATTGGTATACAAACATTTTTTGGGCAACTCTGAAAATAAAATAAGTGTTGAAAATCTATAAATATAAAAATAAATAGCTGTGCGTTAGTCTCGCTAAAACTCAAAAACGACTGGACCGATTTTGATAATTTTTTTTTTAACGTTATAGTTCAAGGATGGTTTAGAAAGGAAAAAAAGTTGAAAAGTTGATCCTAAATATCAAAAAATCAAAAATTTTAAGTAACATCAATTGTTTCCTGGTTCACAGCAGTATTTCATTTGTCACCTATATAAGTCTATCTATCTATATATATAAAAATGAATAGTTATGCGTTAGTCTCGCTAAAACTCAAAAACGACTGGACCGATTCCAACAATTTTCTTTTTGTTTTGTTCGCTATAGTTCAGGGATGTTTTAGAAAGAATAAAATTTTTGAAACCCCCGAAAGTTCAGCTAAGGAAGTCAACAGATCTAAAATTGTTGATCGTCTATCTTCTGTATATATGGACAAAAAAAAATTTCATAAATTCAGTGTTCATTTTTTGGGATCTTGATTTTCAGGCGATAATAAGAAGCAAGTTTCATTTAATAAGTTGACAAAATTCTAACCGCATTCCATACAGCCAGTATTTATTCTTTATCGAAGTAGATTAGAGTTTAGAGATTGATAATCGCTGTTCGAAAGGTGTAATAAAATATATTGTAGGTGATACGAAGTTCACCGGGTCAGCTAGTTTTTTAATTTAAAAAAAAAAAAAAGATGAGATCCTCTACTTAGTGATTAAAATTAAATTTTAGTCCAAGACTATTGAAAATAATCATTTTAATGAAAGTATATTGATTACCTGATTTGATGATAAAGTATAAAAAGATGAATTTAAAAATATTGGCGAAGATATAATTGTAAAGTTATTATAAGCTTCAATGAAAAGATCAGTATTATTTATATTTAATTTTGTTTGGAGACAGTGGAAATTTAATTCTCTTAAATACGTCAAACTCTTTCGAAACAAACAATGACTTGTAAATCCACTGATAGGTAATTCTGCAATTAGAGCAAACGTCATTAAAAATGAATAGTTTAATCCAAAACGGCTTCGTTTCAAATTGTCTGATACAAAAAAAGATAATACCTAAAGGATAGAAAGATATGGATTTAACTGTCCATAAAATATCACCATCTTGATATGGATTCCTCGTGTTTAATTGTGAAGGCGCATACAGTTCTTGAGACCACGTAAATTGAGACTGGAGTTTAATTTTTAATATTTCGTCAAACTCTGCTCTATTTGTAACTTTCTAAAATTTTATATCGATTAATATTTTAATCATTCAAAATAACTCAAGTATAATTTTCTGATGAATTATAAATAGAAAAACTTACAATTGAGCTGCTCTTACTGTAAATCGGTGGTAAATTATCGTATGATATACAAAATAAATTATCAGCGATACGTTCTAAGATAAAGTCAGTATTATTTTTACGTATAAATTCTTTGGTGTAACAGTAACGACTGTCATATTTATTTCTTTTATGGTCAGAACAGTGAGAAAACACACTCAAATGAAAATCTGTGCAATCATTATCACAACAACAATTAACATCACACCTAAACATCTGAAAAATATAAATTGATGAAATATAATTAAGACAAAGATCATAATTTGTATAAAAAAATCTTTACCTGAAAATCACACGTGCAAGGATCAGTAATTCGTTTAACAATTGGTACTGATTGTCTATTGATATTCGCCGTTATTGAATAATTAGATAACTTATTTACAGAGTGAGAACTTGTCGTAGTTGGATAAAATGACGTAAATATATTAGAAACATTGACTTTTTTAGTAGTATGAACGTCAGTGGGATTCAAATCCTTTTCAGTATTTATCATCTCAGTGACATAATTTATGTTTTCGCTCGTGCTGGATTCACTTATTAATTCATAATTTTCCGACCAACTCTGACACTCGGTTTCATTCATACAAGTTGTCAAAGTACTGTAACTATCTGTCGTCAAGCAATGGACATAAACTATTAAATTTAACAGAATTGAGACAAAAACACACTCGGATTGCAAGCTTGACGTTGACATCATGAAATAATTTATTAGTACCGATTTGCTACTAAATAATGAGTAATTGAGGTGGGAATAACCACGATTAGTTCTTAATGTACTGTAAGTTTAAATCGAGCATTAAATGGTAAATTTGTCCCGAATAATTAATGCAATAAATTTACGCATAGTTGTTTTCAAGATGATCTATGTTATTTTTATCAATGACAACCGAATTTATTAAAATTCCGGGTTATTATTTGAAAGTTTATGTCAACATCACCCTCTGTTTCAGTTAATAACTCAAATCGGTCAGTACTGTTCGCTAGGAGACTCGGTGTTTTTAATTGTAATGTCATACCCAAAAACTTATCTCTCAATCTGTCTTGCCAGTTACCTAAAATTGTTTAACTATCAATGATTATTATTTTATTTTTAAATTGATTTACAAAAAAAGTTACCAATTGGTTTCCATGTATGACATTTAATTTGATGAAATCCAGGAATCATCGGCACCGAACATGTACCGTAGGCAGTGAATAATATTCTACCGTAATTATCACGTGAAAAAATTTGCAGTAACAATTTTGGTGAACCTTGCAGCGTGTGCGTTGTATAGTGCAAGTCGATCGGATGATCCCAGGCTAATTTTTTACGATAAAAATCACGACACTCTTGGGTTTGTCCTTCACTATTTCCATTTAATAATTTCCAGCCACTTCCTGTTAAAAAGAAGAAAAACAAATTTTTTTTTTAATAACTTTCATTAGTCTTCCCGGGTCAAAAAATTTAAACTGATTTTAAGCTAAATGATCTGCATATCTGTTATATTTATTTATCATAGCTTAATATTTCATGGATTATAAAATTTTTGTAACTGCGAATATTAGTTGCAGTGATAACTAATAAATTTGTATTAACATACATATAGAAAATAGTTCTCATCGTTTTATTATGGATCTAAATCTAGAATTTTCTAATTATCGTTAATAAACACAATGTGAATACATCAAGACAAGATTAAAATGTTGACAAGATTAATATTAAATTTAATACCTCCATGCATCATTTAATGAGCGGTAATCACTGTTTGGTAGTGTGAAGAATACCGTTTGGTATACATTGCACTACGAAATAGTGAATGGTCACTATTTCAGTTTCAGAGAATGAAAAGCCGTGCCCTGTAGAGGATCTTCGAGGACATGAATAAAATAATAATAAATAAATATATTATTATTATTAAATTCGTAAAAGGTCGGTTTTTGATCTACAGGCGATGAAAAACCGACTAAAAATTATGGAACGTTTTGGTCTGTTTTTGACCTTGATGCGATCAAAACCAGCTAAATGATTGTGACAAAAAAGTCTAATTTTGGTCTTGAAACAATAGAAAACAATTTTATTGTAACATCAAAAATGATCTGAAATTGGTCTGAATTGGGAATAGTACGGGCAAAAACAGATTAAATTCTAATATAAAATAGATACACATAATAAAATTAAATAGAATGAAAAATATTAAAAATTTTCATTAATCGTAAAACAGATTAAATTTTTTGACCCGGGTTAATGGTAATAATACTAATTACTTACCGGTATGAAAACTCCATTTACAAAATAAAATAGACTTTTTAAAATTTTCCGCTGATTCTATTCGTCCGAATATGTGAAGCTCCGCCATAATAATGTAACATTTTATTATATTAATAATAACTGTTGATTTATGTAATGATGACTAAAGATTGATTGATTGAATATAAAAATTTTTTAAGACGCCCTGTGGCCGTTTGTTTGGTAACAACGAGACTAGTAACCGAAATGACAGGTGATGGATGACAGTTCAATGCCCAGTGGTTTATTGTGTTTATAATTTGGTCAGTATCTTTGAGAACTTACAGATGGCGCTAGCTGGATAAAAAGCCGCTTTTTTCCTGTGAATAGGTACGGAAGGGAACTATTTTTTTTAGATAAACTGCATAGATTTTTCGATTTTTGTTTTTACTACAGTAATTTTATTTATTAACAAATTTCCATGAAAATTTATGAGTGTAAAATTAGTAGATAAAATAATTTTAATGATACTGAAATCATTTTGCATGCCTCACCACGTGCAAGCTTGCCGCTATTTAGTATGTGACGATTTTGCAATATAAAATTGCAATATAATATGTCTCAATTTAAACATTAAATCAACAAAAAAAAAGATGTATTTACAAAAAATGTCGTTAAAAAATTATTAGTACGGCTATCAGTTAGTCTGTGCACTTGTTTGTCTTCACAGTTCAGAAAAATATACGCAACGAAATGAAATAGGGGAGCTTGGGGTCGCCCCGGTCACCAACATTTAAAAAAATCTACTATACCTTAAATTTTGAATTTTGTTTTATTTTGTACTCTTATTCAGCTGAGAGTAAAAAATAGATTCAAAACTTAGAAATATAGTATTTATTAGTAATAATTAAAAATTAAAAAATTGATTCTCATTTGATCTAAGAATCGGAATCATTTCCGTAAGGCTTTTAATATAGTTTACAGTAAGATAAAAATTTATAATTTTTATGTATATAATCTATAAATCTTCCTTTATAAGTGGTAATTTTTATTATACTGTAATTGTCAATCGTTTTTTTTTAAATAAAGTTTATTTTCTCAACTATCGGTTGGGGTCATACCAGTCAAAGCTGTGAGGTAACACCCGTCAGTTTATTCAATTGTTTATTGTCTGACAGCTCGTGTGTTTATTTAAAACGAACCACTATTTTTTAATTAATTTATCAATTACGGTAAGTTATCTCGTAATTTTAAATAAAGAAAAATGGATCAAATATTTTTAAAAGGTCATATTTTTTATAAATTAATAAATAAATTATAGATGCCTCGTAAAAAAATCCGGAAAACTGAAAGGGGAAATTGGACTCCTGAAACTCTTCGTGCCGCGAATAGTTAAAAAAACAGAAAGTTTAAATGTTAAAAATTACCAATATCAATGTTATTTGCTGCTAAAGTTTCAATAAAAAAATTAATTTTTAATTTTTATTAAATTTTAACAATATAATTCGGAATTTCTAATTTTTAAAATAAAATTAATACTGACCGGAGCGACCTGCCTAATGACCGGGGTGACGCAACGCGTTGGGTCGCCCCGATCAAACTCATTATTTCTATAATTCTTCAAATATTTTTATTTATCTTCATACTTATATTTTTTAGTCATTGCATTTAGTTCTTCAGATGTCAAAGAATTGAATAAAGTCTTTTTTATTATTCCAAAATGATAATTTTAATATTTTTTTAAATTCACTTATTCTTAGATGATCGGGGTGACCCCACACTCCCCTAAATCTTTCTGAATAAGTTACCATTTATCCTTACCCAAGCGGCACAAATTCTTTTTTGTTAATGTTTTGTTGAATTTAAGTTGACGATTATTAATTTTTTAACTTCTTGTTGTGTAAAATCTATCAAAAAGTCAATATTTTTTTTTGTGACACTTGGGTTACGATGATCTCTATTGCTGGTCGTTATCAGACTCAGACGTTTAAACAATATTAATGAAAATGAATTTTTTTATTCTAAAATTCTATCATCAACGTTGAGTTGTCGATATTATTATTAGTAAATACATTTTCTTTTGTGCGTCTTTTGAAGATTTTATTTGTAGTAAAATAAGCGAGTGAGGCGCATACTTTTGGATTTTCCAGACTTTTTTTTTTATTAATGTTTTGTTGAATTTTAGTTGACGATCATTAATTTTTGACTTCTTGTTGGCTAAAATCTAGCAAAAAGTCAACATTTTTATTGTGACGCTGCTCTAAACGAGGTTGCCGCTTCCTGCCTTCGTCGAGCAAAAAAATAGTACACTGAAAAAAAAATTTATTTGATTCGAGAAAAAAATTCTTGAACCAAGAAAATAATTTTGAAGATAGTAATTTTTTTTTTTTCGAAATTCCTGGCCTGATCGATTTAAACTTGAAGATTCTATATGGAGCTTTAAAAACTGCGTCGAATGCTGCCAACCGCGTAAAAATCGGTTCATTCATTCAAAAATTATTGCCGTTTGAAAATTCAAAAAATTGTGTTTTATTAAACTGCTATTAGAGTTTTGAGCTCGAAGTGCTCAAAATGACACAAAAATCATATTTGTGAGCTCAAAAACGTAATGTGTAATTTTGAGCGCTTAAGTACAAAATGAGAGGGAAGTTGCAGGGATGGCCTTTAGGGTCAACCATCGTCCTAATTTTTTTTTCAGAATACCATGTCTAAAAAAGAAAAGCTACTTATCACCCTGAAAAACCTTTTGGTAGAAACAAATTTTCGTAGAAAACGAGCTGTCGATTATTATTTGAAGCTGATGAGTTAGATGTGGATCCAAGTTCGAAGACTCCAAAAATATGCAAGTATCTCCTGTATTTTTCAAGCTCATAGAAATTTAATACATATTCCAATTTGTAGCTAATAAAATTAGTCATGTATTTTAAGAACCTATTATATTTCCAAACATAGTGAAATCTTTTAAAAATTTTAGTACCTACTTAACTTATCCTCAGTTTCAGAAATTTCAAGCACTGAAAAATTTATTTGAAGAAGATATTAATTCATGAGTTCAGTTGACGGATGATAATATTTTGTCTAAATTGGTTTAAGAACTGTGACAATATTTTTATAAAATTACCAGAAATAGCTAAACCATATGTTTAAATAGTTTAGAATCAATATCCGACGTATATTTTTGAATAATTAATTCAGAAAATTTAAAACAATAAAAAGTGTCACCATTTCCCTAAAATTTGCAATTCATTTAGTAAATTAATCCAATAAAAACAAATTAACATTTTAGAGTGTCAAGTTTTATTTTTGACCTTTTAGATAAAAGTTATTTCTAGATAGAAGAGAAATAAAATAAATGGGATATATTTATGAGTATGAGTAAAAAAAGGTTAAGTTGTTATAAAAATAAAAATAAACAAAAAAGTAATGAACGATGAAGTGCATAATTAGTTGTGGAAATACACGGTCATTCGGAGATAGTTGAGATAGATTTACAGTAAACAACGGAGTTATAAACTGTCCCGTCGCAATATATCTCCATAATCCTGCACCTGCAGTTATTGCTTACCATATTAACTATTTTAAAGCGATAATGTGAACATTCCAAAAGTAAAATAGTCGACTGTTAGTTACTATTCCACTATATTTACAGAAATACAAACCGCAATACTTTTAATTATTACCGGGATTCGTGTTAAATAATAGAGTTATAGTGGTGCTTAATTATTTTTTTAATTATTGCGTCGAGTACTAAAAAGGTGAAAGACAATGTCCAACAAAAACTACAATAACATCATTATTTTTACGCTGTATGACTAAGAACATTCTTTAAATTTTAATTATATTGTCTGACATCGAGTGCTATTTTGTGAAACCGTTTGGGACAATTTGAAAAATAATTTCGAAAAAACAAAAAAATTGATTTTTTTCAGATACGTTATTTTTGCTTTAACAGCCGGCGGTCCTCTCTTTTTCTCGCGTCGTACTCACTGCAAGAAACGGTACTATCCTTGTTGCATTCATGATTATGAAACTATTGCAGTTTTATGTTTTTCTTTTAAAAAATGAGAATTTTTAAAAAAACGCTCTACTACGAAATAGATAATTAAAAAATCTGTTACGTAGCAGAGCGTTTTTGTCAAAATTCTTCTTTGTCCAGGAGATAAATAATAAAGCTGCAATCGTAGGAACCGGCTGTTAAGAAAAAAAATTCTAAAAAAAAAAAAGACATAAGGTAAAAGCCCCAATAGATGCTCATGTACCAGTATATGATCACTCCATGTATTTGTATATCTATATTTGTGAATATTTACCTTATTTACCTTAGATATAACAATTTTTTTTTTTATTTTTCAACTTTTCGCTTATAAATTGAATATTTTTAACTTATGCGTCTATAAAATTTGAAAATTCTCTAAAGTAGACTTTATGAATGCCAAAACATCGAGATTTGATTAGTTTCATTTTTAAAAATCAAACTAAATTCTATAACTTCTCAAATTTTCAAAAATTTCCAAAAATCATCGCTAGAAGTTGAAAACGTTCAATTTTTAAAGCGGAAAGTTTGAAAATAAAAATAAAAATTTTTCGATGCACACCCTTTTTGCGTTAGGAACGCGATTTATTTTTTATTAAACATGATTTATTGCTTATTCCCATGCAGGAAACCCCCAGAGTTGACAAAGGGGCCAGGCTTGGGCCAGTACTGGAAAACCTAGCTTCGGCGTACCTGTATTGGCCCATGCGTGGGCCAGGCTGTTTAACCCAGCCTAGGCCATACCAATGATTACCCAACCTTGGGCCAAGACTGACTAACCTAACCTTGGCCATTCATTGGTGACCCATGCTTGAGCCAAGACTGGCTAACCTAGCCTTGGCGATTCATTGGCGACCCATGCTTGAGCCAAGACTGGGTAACCAAGCCTTGGTCGGCCCAATTATTACCCGAGTCTGGGCCAGAACTGGGTTCCCCAGTCAGGGCCACAATGATTATTCAAGGGTTAGCCAAGATTGGGGAACCTACACTGAAAAAAAATTAAGTTGATTCAAGAGAAAAATTCTTGAACCAAGAAAATAACTGAAGAGTTTAATTGTCTTCAATCAAAACGAAAAATTCTTTAATTAAATAAAATT